GGGGGGAATCAAACATGTTCTCAGGTTCATTTGTTTTACTCAATTTTTTTTTTTTTAATTTGGTTTTATTCCTAAACCAGTTTTTTGTTAACAAGGTCCTAATTTTGATCCCCTAACTAGACAGAATCCTAATATAAAATAAGTATTCTGCATTTGTATTATCAAGAGAAAAATATTAAAGAAAAAGGTGGGTGATTAAAAATAACTTATTGGCATTATTAATATTTGGTCGTAATTAATTTCTAATTATTAAAATAACTTGACAGATGAATAAATAGAGGTAATAAAAGATTAACAGTTGCCAGCTCATACACCCTGCAAAGTACATATAAGGTTATGGGTAGAAATTACTACAGCATTAAGCATCAGGCAAATTATTTCTTCAATAGCTTCTCCTTCATCCTCTCAACTGCGCTTTTGAGAGTCTCTTCGTCTTTGCAGAAGGTAAATCTCACTAGATTCTTTCCTTCGTCTGGGTTTAAATAGAACACACTGGTCGGAATCGCTACAACACCTACTTCCTTGATTAAATACTCACAGAAAGCAACATCGTTTTCCAGTCCAAATGGGGTGTGATCCACCACCACAAAGTAGGTTCCGCTTGATGGGAAGACCGTGAACCCTACCGACTTCAACCCCTCGACCAGGATATTCTTTTTCACCATGTAATCCCTCCGAAGCTCCTCATAATAAGAATCTGGGGCTCTGAGGGCCGTTGCAGCTGCAAATTGCATCGGGGTGGATGTTGCAAAGGTGAGGAAAGAATGTGCCTGTCTGACTCCCCATGTCAAATGTGGAGGTGCTATTGCCCAACCAATTTTCCAGCCAGTTAGTGAGAACGTCTTCCCGAGAGAATTCAGGGTCACAGTCCGTTCATACATTCCAGGAACTGAAGCAATAGAGATGTGATCCATTTCAAAAGCCAACTTGTCATAAACTTCATCAGAAAAGACCAGTATATCATTCTCAATACAAAGAGATGCAATGGCATTTAGTTCTTCTCGAGTGAACATCTTTCCTGTGGGATTATGCGGAGTGTTCATCAGGATAGCACGTGTATTCTTTGATACTAATGACTTCAGCTCATCAATGGGGATCGAGAAATCTGGAGGCCGAAGGGTGACGCATTTTATTTTAGCACCAGCCATGGACAGTGTAGCTTCGTAGGAATCATAGAATGGAGCAAAGAGGACAACCTCATCACCGGGATTTATCAAGCCTAACATTGTTGCGGCTATTGCTTCAGTGCATCCCGAAGTGACGGTGACTTCCTTTTCAGGATCAACCACAAGTCCTGTGTCTTTCTTGAAGCGTTCAGCCACCGCCGAGTTCAGGTCAGGAACTCCATATCCACGGGCATACTGATTTTTACCGTCTCTAATGGCCTGAATAGCTGCTTCTTTGACAAAATCTGGGCCATCAAAATTTGGAAAGCCCTGTCCAAGGTTTATGGCTCCATGTTTGATGGCAAGCGAGCTCATTTGGGTGAAGATTGTAGTTTTGAACTTCTCTAAGCGCTTGGCAACCTGATAAGAATCTTATAATGTCATAGGCAGAATAGCAATTTGTTGTTCATCTCCATGAACTACTGCTGAGATTTGGACATAAAGAAAAACATCTTTAGCATGTTTTTAGGGAGGATTGAATACCACTAAAAAATACTAAGAAAGAAGCTAAAAGCTTGTTCATCACAGTGCAGTCCCATTCAATACAACTCAAGCACTTTGCATGTCTCACTTTTCATACTCCCCTTAGTAACCTAATTTAGCCTCCATAGAAATAATGTCTCAAATTAAACAGCATCTCAAATCAATTTGAAAATAAATGAAAACTAAACTTATATAATTATTTCTTTGTTACAGTGCATTTGGATCTGTTTATTGCCTAAGTACATTTTATTATCTTAACACTCAACCTTAAAGATTTAGACGCTAGAAGCTACTGCAACTTATAAATTTAGTATTACGTCTTTTCGTTATTGCACAAGTGTTAGGATGCCACATCGTTTAGACCCAAAAACAATAACCAGCATGTAAGGGTTTGTGATGCTCATCATAAAAAGGTAAACCTACTGGAATCTCAAGCCTCAATGCATGGAAACTGCTTTCTTATATTGATTGTTGCAATGCAACCTTGATCGATATTTTACCACATAAATTCTTTCGCAGCAGATTCAGCTAGTCGGGAAGGAATCTAAAAATACTTGCCGAAAAAAGGGTGGGACCAGCGCTGGCTTTTAACAGAATAAGGAAAATAACACTCATAGGTCTGTAAATGAAATTAACAAGATATAGGCAGTGTTGAAAATAATGTGGCTATGTATGACAGACAAAGTTATGAAAGTTACAAGGTAATTGGCTCTTACTAAAGTAATCAAAAACAAAAAAGTTTTGCTCTATCTCAACATAATGACATACAACAGGTAGTTAAGGTTATTCCCAATAAACTTGAGATCAGTAACACGTCATCACTCCATTCTATCTATCATTTCATCTACTGAATGAAATAAAACATTGTTGAACCACGTTGGGCCATGCTAATTAAATAGTGTTTATAGCCTCTTCAAGAAAAACAATATTTATACTAAGTATGATGGGCACAAATGATCGAAAAGTCTTCGGATCTCCTCCATTTTAGTAGACACCCAAACCAAAGAAGTATAGCATATTGCATGCATCGGTGGCACCTGGAGCTATTTCCAATGTAAAATGGGGAAAAAGGGTATCCCATTAAGTTATTCTCCAGTATTATGCAAAAAGATCAAACTATATGGTTTTCCGTGCGTAACTTATATTTCCTTTAATGTTGGACGCCACAAGAAAGATGCAAACACAGTAAAAATATCATGCACGAGGATACGAGTTCCTTGGTTTAAAATTGGAAAATTTACAGAATCCAAAACATTGATGAACAACCTGTGTTTATATACGAACAATTCATGATTAGTGGAGAAGGTTTTATCTTGAGATCCATCACTCTATAGGTGTCTAAAAACTCGGAACATGAAAACGTCTTCAAGAAATGCAAAATCACCATACTACCATAGTTTTAATACCAAATTTAGGACCAGCTACATAATCTTTTTCCGTCATTTCGTTCAAATCTAAGCTAATTTCTTCCAAATGGTCAACGAAACTCGAATATTATCATCCGCCTCTCAGGCTATGTTGACTTCAGCTAAAATTTTCTTCATAAATTTGAATTCTCCCATTA